AGGTGTGCTTTCATAGAATAAAAATAAAAATAAAAGACAGGTTTCAAACCTGCGCTGTTCAAAGTGAAAACTGACAATGGAAGGATCATACAGTGTGTTTTTGACACAGAGTTCAATATATGACCAAAGTCTTGATGCAAACTCAGAAGGATAAGTACAAGAACAATATAATTCTTTCCAAAGGTCTTGACTTGGTTGAAGAAGAAGAAGAAGAAGAGCAGATTACCACACCAAACTTTCAAGTTTGATCCTAATAACCTGGGGAATGAGGAAAAATACAAATCTAATCTATCAAGGCTGAGATTCTTTATTGTGCTTATTCAACAAGTGGTTGCCAGAGTCAAAATATATTTCTCTTGAACTAAGCAGGTTTGTAATTTGTATAACGATGTGTCTTTTGCATTAACTCGTGATTCATCAAGTTCCACCATTTTGGATTTCATAGAATAAAAATATTGATGTTGGCAGGTTTCAAACCTGCACAGCTGAAGAGAAACAGATTTTAAATCTGATGACATTCAACAAGTTTCAAACTTATTGCACTCCGATGGAAACAGATTTTGATTCTGTTATGACAGCCACTTAGCTAAATACAACTGTGATCAGCTTGCAAGCAAACCAACCATGAGCAAATTTCAAGGTGTGTTTTCATAGAAAATGAATTTTATCACTGGCAGGTCTCAAACCTGCACAGTCCAAGAGAAACAGATTTTGACTCTCATGATCACTTGGCAAATACATCTTTAGCAGGTTTTGAACCCACACAAACAGATTTAGATTCTGTTGTATCAACTGCTTGGCTAAGACCAGTTGGATTGTCAAAATGGGAATAAGACCAAGAAAATTTGGATTGGACCAATGGTAAGAATACAACGTGCAGGGGACATGAGTCAAGAAAGGGAAGCCACATGTGTGGCATGAGTCATAATAAGATGTGTTTTTTATAAACACAAAATGACATCACTGTTGGCGGATTTCAAACATGCACAGTCTGATGGAAACTGATTTTGACTCTGTTGACCACTTGACTAAGACCAGTAAAGATCTGTGTCTGAGGAACTATTCATGGGCATTATTGGGAGTGTGTCTCACTGATCTTAGCCAAGCGGTTAATGGAAACAGAATATAAATCTGTCTGCGCAGGTTCAAAACCTGCTGAAGATGGATTTGCCATCTGATCCCCAGAGTCAAAATCTGTTTCTCTTGGACTGCGCAGGTTTGAAACCTACCAGTGATACAATTCATTTTCTATGAAAACACACCTTGAAATGTGCTCATGGTCGGTTTGCTTGCAAGCTGATCATGGTTGTGTTTAGCCAAATGGCTGTGATCACAGAATCAAAATCTGTTTCCATCGGAGCGCAACAAGTTTGAAACTTGTGGGATGTCACATTTTTTCTGTAAGAACATATTTTAAATATTTGCTCATAGATGGTATCTCAGACATTGATCTTTATTGATCTTGGTCAAGTTGTCGCCAGATTCAAAATCTGTTTCTCTTGAACTGTGCAGGTTTGAAACCTGCCACTAACAACATTTTTGTTCTATGAAATCACACCTTGACATTTCCTTATCAAGATCAATGTCTGAGATGCTGTCCATGAGCAGATATTTAAGACATGTTCTAATAGCAAAAATGCACCATTCAACACATTTCAAACTCCATGAGGAAATGTCAAGACATATTTTTGTAGAAAAAAAGAATTTATCATTGACAGGTTTCAAACCTGTCATGGTTCAAGAGAAACAGATTTTGAGTCTGGTGATCACTTGCAATTTCATCTTTAGCATATTTTGAACCCACACAGACAGATTTAGATTCTGTTGTATCAACTGCTTGGCTAAGACTAGTTGAATGTACTTCCAATGAACTCGTTCAAAAGTGAATTCTCATGGCACATTTATTTGCATTTTGTCAGTTCTTTCAATACACATCATCATACAGATTACAGACCTGCTTAGTTTAAGAGAAATATATTTTGACTCTGGCAACCACTTGAATAAGCACAATAAAGAATCTCAGCCTTGATAAATTTGTATTTTTTTCTCCTTCCCCAGGTCATTAGGATCAAACTTGAAGGTTTGATGTGTAACTTGCTCTTCTTTCTCTTCAACCAAGTCAAGACCTTTGAAAAGAATTGGATTGTTCTTTTACTTATCCCTCCAAGTTTGCATCAAGACTTTGGTCATGAATCAAAATAGTGTTGTTAGGTTTTTTATTTGTTATGTGCATGGGAAGGTCTGAATTTGCCATACTGGTGCAGGAAGGCAGGGGTCTGAGTGAGGATAATGAATCGTGAAAAGTCAGCTAATGCTCAAAGGGATCTGTGATCGACAAAGATAGACCTTCTGAGCGTGTAGAGTTTAAAAAGTATACAGACCAAAGGATCTGAAAGAGAACACTAATCCAGACCACAAAAGAGTGAAGTTTACAATAAAAGTGGATTCTGAAGGAATAAAACCACACACTTAAAAGCTGAACAACATATGAGTAAAAGTAATATACCTCAAACATTTGCTCATAGATGGTTGTCTCAAAAACTCATTATAACCAGTCTTAGCCAAGTGGTTGTTGCAACAGAATTGAAGTCTTGACTGTGCATGCTTGAAATATGCTGAGTGATACATGTTTTTGACCTGCTCGGTACAGGAAAATCAGATTTTGACTTTGATAACTCCTGAACTAGTAACAATGAAGATCAAAGTCTGAGAAACTGTCCATGAGCAAATATTCAATTGAGCATGTTGCAGCATGAAAAAGAAATGCATCATTTGACTGATTGCAAATCTGTAGGCTTTGATTGAAACATATTTTGAATCTATTGTGGCAATGATATGGAAAAGAGTATTTATGATGTGTTTTGGAGAAAACTATCCATGAGAAAATATCAGATTGTAATTGCATAGAATAAAAATATAATCATCAGCAGGTTTCAAATCTGCAAAGTCCAAGAGACACAGATTTTAACTCTGGTGACAACTTGACTGAGACCAATGAAAATCGATGTCTGAGATACTGTCTTTGAGAAAATGTTCAAGACATGTTCTCATAGAAAAAATGTGACATTCAATGGGTTTCAAACCTGTTGCATTCCAATAGAAACAGATTTTGATTCTGTTATGACAACCACTCGGTGTTATGACTGGGGTCATTCTTCTTCACTAAGACCGAATGGTCTCTTTTAGCAAAGCAGTGTTCTTCCTATGAGTATAGGTTCAGAGTATTCGACTAAGGACAGTGATGCTGACTGCCTTAGAATAGTGTTTCAAGACTACTAAGGTAGATCCCTTAGTAGAGCGGATGCTCCAGGTAAAACCTAGTAGATTAAAGTGAGGAAACAACATGATAACTACTGTGCTTAAATAGTCCATATGGAGCACATAGACCAAGCCGAGAATGGTAGGTATACAAGTACATATCAGGACATCGAGAGATAAGGGCTGTGCATAAAAGATGGAAGGGCAATAAAGGCTATGCATAGGAACAATATCGGTTGCCAACACGATAAGAGATCTTGGTGATGAGATGGACGATATATTGGAAGGTGATTGGTCTCTGTATAGTAGTAACAGACAGTGACCATTGTCCGGTGATAGGAGAATAAATGGGGGTGTACTTTGACCATAACACTTGGCCAAATACAACTTTGATCAGCTTGCAAGCAAACTGACCATCAGCATATTTCAAGATGTAATTTCATATTAAAAAAATGTCACAACTGGCAGGTTTGAAACCTGCATGGTCCAAGAGAAACAGATTTTGACTCTGGTGATCACTTGACTAATAACATCTTTAGCAGGTTTTGAACCCACACAGACAGATTTAGATTCTGTTGTATTAACTGCTTGGCTAAGACCAGTTAGATGCATCCCTAATGGACCCATTCATAAGTGAATCCTCAAGGCATATTTATCTGCATTCTGTCAGTTCTTTTAATAATATGGTCGCCGTGATTTTTTTTCTTCTAATTCTACTCTTATCGCAAAATACATCAGACTTCTTCTGGGCCGACCTATTTATCCAGCAATTGCTCCAAAAATGTATGGATGGCAGACCACCATGGTGGGCTGATGATGTAATGTTAGAACTGACAAAATGCAGATAAACGTACCTTGAGGATTCACTTCTGAATGAATTCATTGGGAGTGTATCCAATTGGTCTTAGCTGAGCAGTTGATACAACAGAATCTAAATCTGTTTCTGTGGGTTCAAAACCTGCTAAAGATAAAATTGCAAGTTATCATCAGAGTCAAAATCTGTTTCACTTGGATGGCGCAGGTTTGAAACCTGCCAACAATAACATTTTTATTTCATGAGAATGCACCTTGACAGTTTGAAACCCATTGAATGCTTCATTTTTTGGTTTTTCTTGCAAGAAAGTCATGATAGGGGGAGTCCAGAGTTGGCGATTCACACTCGATTCAAGAGCTGTTCCACATCGCGATCCATCATCAATTTTTTCATTGATGGATCATGGGAACAGTGAATTGCAGCTGGATCATTGGAACGCCTCCTGAGCCGCTCCACCTTTTGAATTCTGTTTGATTCTCCTCATCCCAGTAATTAAATTTGTTTTTATTTAAATAAATACATATGACAAGTCACTACTGCAAAATAACACTCGTCTCTGAGTCCTACTCTAAACTTAATCAATGGCAAAAAAGGCCACTGAGCAAGCTCCAGATCAAGTACAGAAGGCACCCAAGAACTGAAGGAAAGGTCCGTCGAAGGCCAAAGGTAGTAAAAAGGCCAGCAAGAAAAAAGGAAATGCAAGTGATAGCGAGCTGCCGGTGGATAGTGATCATGATGGTCAACCCAAACTTGAAGATAAGACTGATATCGAGTATGTACCTCCGAGTCTGGGCCAATTTTTACCTTTGTTTACCTATGACTCATTTGAGTTCAGCTGGACCCCAAAAATGAGTGCTGCTCTCCTGTCTGCCATTACACACGACACAAATATCAAGCAAGGGCTATTTCCTTCACCTAGAGCAAATCCATGACTGGTGGCAAGACAAAGGCAGCATACCACTGGGCCATATGTGTCACACTGTTCAAGAACCATCCAGACTATCATACACCATTCTCGTATGCCATAACTCCCAAACAGAAAGGCACTTGGGCTAATAAGATTAAAAATTGAATCAAGAGGTAAGTGTCATCCTGATGACATCAAGTGATGCGTGCACTTACTACTATATGGTCCCACAGAATGTCCGAGATCACATGCAAGTACATGGACGAAATGGGCGAGACAGGTGCGGGCATAACTCGAGAAGACGAGATTAATATGGATGTAAAAAATTCATTTACAACAAAGTGGGGTGTGTACCTCTATGACAACCAGCTACCTACCGTTCAACATTTTTTCATGCCAGCAATTATTAAAGAAGCATGCCCATGGTTCTTCGACATGTGGGAGATTATAGCTGAGCGCCCAAATCAAGTTCCCGTTGGTCTCGGGCCAGTCAGATGGACTATGACATGTCAGTTCTGACCGTTGGCAGCTCCGAACCCAATAGTGGGTTTATGTCTGATGAACCAGATGTCTCAGAAGGCTTTGATTAGCTCGATTGTAATGAGTGGCCATTGTCAGATTTAGACAGCACTGCTGACGAAGTGCCCTCAAAGTGAAAGGCATTGGCGATGAGTGGAGAAAGGCAGGGTAAGAGTAGTGTTACAGGTCTCAAAACGAGCCCACAACCTGGGATGTCCAAACCTGCCACCACTAAGGCCCCAAAGAATCCAGTGAAGAGACGAAAGAAAGATGAATTTGCCAAGATTGCACAAGCAGAGGAAGTGACTAGACAGAAAGAGCTTGAAGTGGCCAAGGTGAGAATAGAGAAGGACACTGTACATGGCAAAAGCAAAGTTGGCAAAGCTTGAGTTGGAGAAGGAAAAAGTTGGCCTATGCAAGGGAGCGGTGACAAGAGAAGATGAGAATGTGCCTTACTACTATGGAAGGAACGAGCCAACATCATGGATTCCCCGAATTCAACATGCACAATACCTTTCCCAGTCCTTCGAGCAGTTCTCACCCACACTTGCCATATCCACTAACTTCTGCATATTATCAGACACCCTCATCACCTGCCGCTGAGTCTTATGCAAGTGAAAACACAGCTAACACAGCTTCCAGGTCATTTGATGCATCATCCATCATTTTCTCATCAGATTAATCTCATTCCAAGTACCTAGTTCAAATCCTGTGCTCGACTACATAAAAACTAAATGTCCCCATCTTCTTCTAAGTCTTGCTGCCTTCGTTTGTAATCCTTTGCTCTGAACAAACAATGTTTCAACTGCTCGCGTCGGGCTTTGGCTTTGCAGAGACATAACCCACTGGCTGGGCCTTGCAAGACACTAGGAAGGTTTGAATGACTGTCGGAATCGGAGTCTGATGAAAGGCCTTGCACTATGAAAGGATCTTCACTATCAGAATTGTCCCTTTCGCGCTCATCAGCCTTGCATTGCATTGCAAATGCATGAAGGCCAACACACGCAGTAATCCAGTATGTAGCAAACTGGTGAGATTTCTTGTCCTTGATTCTTACCTGAAGACCTTTTAGCGACTGAAAATGTCCCTTCAGAAACCCAATAGTGTGCTCTGACCAAATCCGCACCATCGACACATGATTATTGAAAATTTCATTCTGCACAAGGTCTTTCTCGGGTTTCTTGTACAGAGCAATGATCCATGTCTGTAACTGACTGATGTAAGTTTCTGCTGTACACCACATGAACAGACAACTTACCAGATATGCAGAGTCTGCCCAGACAAATTCTCTGTCATCAAGCAGGGTCTCGTGCTCCTGGGCAAGATGGGTCTCATCCCATGCTGTTGAATCATGAGTACTTCCCATGTGGCCATAGCTGAAGTCGATGATGCGAAGATTGGGTAGCGAAATAACCTGAAGTATTTTAGCTTTCAATTTTCATGGACAAGATTGACAAATACCTGTATGTTAAGGGAGTAGTTGCATTTTCGATCGAAGTTACTTTCTCCATACCAATGAGGCCGATCGTATAATGGAATGAGTGTGCCATCAACAAGACACCAACCATCTCGCCATGCTTTACGCGAGTGCATTTCAACCCACAACTTTGCATCCTCTTTCTCTTCAGCAGTCGGGAAACGCACAGCCTCTTCCATGAAGGAACGACGCAATATGGCAGTCATGACTCGCTTCGTAATTAGTGACATGGAGCCATGGCCCCCTCCTGCCCATTGTGCAACTGGGGATTGACCAGCTGCATTACCATTATGACCGAACTGGAAAAGAGTGATGGTGAGCTGCTCTTTGACTGACTGCTGAGGATTATTTGAATTATTGAAGAATACTGCATTGTCCTATATCTTTGCAACAATTTGATCGAAGGTATGAGGATTTATGCAGAGAATTTCACGGAATTCAGCTGGTCATTCGAATTTCAGGACCTCAAGAACATGCGGAAGGTGAGAGGGGGCTTTGGGTATGGGCTTGTTGCATGGGGCATCATAACAACATGCATATATGTCCTCATAGGTGCGTCGAACATGGTGGGATAAACGAGTAGTATAGTATACTTCAAGTCCAACTTCTTCCTCGTTGTCAGCATCATTTGCCAAATCTGAGTCTAGTTCAAACTCATCACTGGAAGTTGAGTTACCACTGTTGTCTTCATCTTCAGAGGTGGAGCTTTCGGATATGGAGGTGCCTGAGTCAGTGTTTGAGTCAGACAATGAGAATGATGGTAGGCTTTCTGACTTGGAGCTTGACGATTGATATGGTAGAGGGGGAGCTTGATGAGATCCTGACACAGCTAGCAAAGTATGCCAGCTTCGCGCAGCATGATGTCGAGCACATTTAAATTGAGCAAGGCGATACCTGATAAAGGTGCTGAGTAATTTTTCGACCTGTCACTGTCTAGGTATGAAATGGGGCATTATTGCCAGTGTATTTGAAGCCTGAGATGGAGAACAGTAGTAGACAAGCTGAATATGATTACATAATAAATATATGTTCAAAGGGAGCAGAATCGTATAGTTGAATCAGGGGTGGTCAAAGTTGACTACGATTCAAGGACAATCTAAAATTTTGAATCAGCCTCTGAATCGTATTTTGGATCGAGCGTAAATCACCAACTCTGACTTCCCCTAATGCCACCCAGAAAATTAAGGCCTTCTGATTCATTTTAAGATTCATGTGGGAAATGTGAAGGTGTGATTTCATAGAATAAAAATAACAATGTTGTCATTGGTAGGTTTTAAACCTGCACAGTTCAAGAGAAACAGATTTTGACTCTGGTGACAACTCAACTAAGACCAATGAAGATCAACATTTGAGATGCTGTCTATGAGCATATATTCAAGACATGTTCATGTTCTAATTCAAAAAATGCATCACTCAACAGGTTTCAAACCCACACATTCCAAGAGAAACAGATTTTGACTCTGGTGATCACTCGACAATGTCATCTTTAGCAGGTTTTGAATCCACACAGACAGATTTAGATTCTGTCGTATCAACTGCTTGGCTAAGACCAGTGAGATGCACTTCCAATTGATCCATTCACAAGTGAATCCTCAAGGCAGTTCTTTCAATAGTGTGATCACCATAATTGCACATAATTCAGTACTTTATTTCCGACTTAGTCGGACAGCCAAAGGTTGATAATTGACCCAGTTAGGCGGGCCATCCAACGTGGGCCCATGCATGCTTATGCACAGATGGGCCCACA